TTTATTTACTGAACAATTAATGTCTGCATCTCAATGTAACTTTACATAAATATTTTTAAACTTAGAAGATACTTGTATAAAAAAAATTAAGATTTTTATCATTATTTTATAATATATTTTCATATATTTCTATTAAAGTACAAATTAAAAAAAATATATTTTTTTATTGAAATAACTTTTGATCCAGATGGTTAACTCTTTCTAACTTTTTGTATTACTTTTAAATGCAATTTAGAATAATCTATAATTTTTTTAAGTATAATTCTTAACATATTGCATTTGCCTTACAACCTCCTTAAAAACAGATGATAAATATAAAGTGTATAGGTTTAAAAAAAATTTTGAAAATTTTGAAAATTTTTAAAATTAAATACAATGTTAAATTGAAAATAAACGAATGATATGAAATTCAACAGATTCCAAAGACGTATCTTCAAAGTTCTCCATACGTTGGAGAAGGAAAACATAAGCTATTACTTAAGCTGTTACACGACTCTGACTGAAGGCCAGGGTCGTGGCACGCGAGACTTATGTAGTTCAGAATCCCACGGTCCTGATAGCCGATCATGCAATCAAACACGATCTTCGCGCTGCAAGAAACGTGGAAAAAATATCTCCAGAGAAAAATATTTATGTTCATTCATATCCTGCCAAATAACAACAAAGTGTATTAAATGTAGAAAAAGTTTTGTGTGACTTGTGTAAAAGATGCGGATAATAATTTAATTAACAGACATTACATGCAACCCCCAGATAATATTTTATGAAAGAGTGGAAAAACAGTGTGAGGAGGGGGTCAAGCAAAATTGTTTCTCTTAATAATTTATTTAGTTTAGTGCCGTGTATTTGTGTTATAACAATAAAATCCGACGATAAATAACAATGGGAAATACGAGATCACAACCCTGCGGACGAAGCAAAACTCTTTATTTATTCTATCTTATCCACCGAACATGGAACGTCGTTGTAGATCGAAAGGATCAAGATCGTTGTGACGATACCGACAGAGAAACGGACTTATCATCAAAATGCAGCACTTGCAACGTATGCGATTACCGACGGGACAGTCTGATCTTCGAAAGGTAACATAAAACTGTAATATTTACGATCGATAAATTTAATACTGCATTACCTGCAGTAAATTATTTAGGTAATTATATTGACTGTTGAAAAATTTATATTGACATTCGATAATGTCCATACTCTTTAATTTCCAAATCCATCAGGCTTATTTGATAATCACAATAATTTTCTCAGAATTACTATTATATATATTACTTTCATTTGTTATAAAATTAAAAATATAATAGGTCTATTATGATTTTAATTCAAAAGAAATTTTAATTACTAGAAAGAAAGACATTTTTAATCCATATAGTTCTTTATAATTCACTTCTATTTTGTAATATTTTTTTTTCTTTAAAAAAATGAATAATAATAAAAATGATATTTATAAATAAATGCTTTATGATGAATGAATGTAATTTATTTTGGGTAAAATTGTAATTATTTTGGGTAAAAAAAATCATTATGTATAAGAAATTCCAGTATATAAAAATTTTCACAAAAGTATTGCTTTTTCTATGTTTCCATTCAAAATGTATGGAAATATAAACTTTCATATCCGTGAAAACTCAATCAATTTTTGTCATATGTGTACCCGATAAGAAATTATCCGTAAAAACCGTTTTAGCTTACATCAAGCATTTCACCTAGATCGATAATTCCAGTTTTAATACATGAAACATCCAATGAAACAACATTGCATCTATAATTGTACATGTCAGACATATTTTAGACCTACTTTAAAGACTCCAATTTGTAAACTTTTTAAGATAAAACTTTATTTATTTGTATTAATATTAATTTTATATGTCGGGTATGTGTGTTTTCGAATTGTTATTTGAAATTTTATAAAGAGTGGGTGAAATTTATTATGACATACTTTTTTTATTTAAGGAAGCAACTAATAGATAGACAGCAAATATAAATGGGCAGATAGAGAAAGCGAAATAAGGAGTAAAAGCATTCTTTTTTCTTTTTATTGATTATGAATATTACACCATTGCTATTTCAAATGTGATGTTAGCGAGGAAATAGAATGAAAGTTTGTTGTAAATTACACTTGAATAGAAATATACGATTATAAAATATAAAACTATCTCTCTTCTTGTTTCGGATAGAAAAATTAAAGCATATTTATTTCTATATATTATCATTAATTTGACAATTTGTCATAATTGTGAGCATAGCTTTTGTTTTTAATTATGCATAATTCATACCTAGATAACTATTTATTAATTATAACAAAACAAAAGTTTTGAATTTTTGACTGCAATATTTTACAAGTTGGTATTGTTTTATTGAAACATATTTTCATATTAATGTATTTTGTAAGAATTTTGATTGTATATAATTTTCTCGCTTCTGACATCACAATCTGAGATAATAGTGGCGAGTGAACAGGAGCTTTAACACAAATAAAACGTATGATATATATAAGCTTCATAATCGATTTTTCTTACAACTCGGAAATTTTGTTTGTTGTTGAGTCACGTTCATAGAGCTTTTTGATTTACCTACGACGATTTTACATTTCCGTTTTTATGCTTATTCTACACGCATAACATATAGAAATTTGATCATCGACTACACCCCTGGTGAAAATTTTTCTCATAATTTTCATACGAATTGGAACATTTTTCAGAAATATTCGAAAAGTTTACATCTTCTCTCCGAACTTCTCATACAAGTGAATTCTGAAATATTTTGAAATTTCTCATCCCATAATTTTTAAAAAATATTTTTAAATTTTTTTATATTTTGTCAACATTTCAGAAATTATACTTACAAAAAATCTTAAAAATGTTACAATATTTCATAATTAACATATATGAAAAATTTTGAGAAAAGATGTACATTTTCTGAGAAATGTTTCAATTCGTATAATGTGAGAAAGTTAAAATTATAGAGAAATTCTTATAGAAAAATTATATAGAATTCTAAAAAATTATATGAAAAATTCTGAGAAAAATTTTCACCAGGGACATACATATGTCCTTTCCGTGGCATCGTAGCGCGCATGATGTATCGCGAGATAAACTCAGATAAACTCTGCTTACATTACGAGCAGGTGAAGGCGCCTCAGCGCGCGATGCTCCGCGTTACATCGTGCCGGTCGCGCCGGTGTCAGTAAACCTCCAACCATCTCGCGGTGCGGAGTTACAGCGCGCGGTCAATCCGAGTGTGACGATAAACTCCTCCGGTTAGCGCGATGCCGATTGTTTCGACAACTGTTGGCCGATTCGATGCACCGATTAAAGCCGAATAATTCTTCCGTACGTTCTCAAGCACGCGTCCATGCGTTCGAGATTGCAAACATCTAATTAAGGTAAATTAATCCTATCATGTCGCACACATGTTTTTTTTAACTTGTGTCAAGTTTACAACACAATTTTTTTTTAGGATTAATTTGTGATAAATGGGATCAACCTTTAGAGGGTGGAAATTAAAGTCAGTTTTTCCATTATTTAAAATTGGTTATAGCTCATTATTTTGTTGTATTCCTTGCTTCGAAATTGACATTG